ACATGTCATGTATTGCCTAACCTTTCAATCTCCATCCTCAATGACTGCCCCTCTAACACCTTCCTATAAAACAAATAACAGGTTGATTGCTGATGATTAGCCTAATAAAATTTCAAAGCTGTAGGTTTCAACATCTTAGTCTTTCGTGCCTACTAGTTAAGCTCTGCTCTACTGAATTTGTTTTTAAACTTTTAAAAGCAGAAGGATGCTTTGTTTTGAAATAAAATCTTGTACAAAACTCTAAAATATAAACAAAACTAAGTTTTTATGGTTGAAGTCTGTTTGTACATGTATAAGTAAATAGCAGAAACAGTTTTAATTTTATCTGACTAGTATGTTCACAGCCAGTTCTGCTCAGCCTTCCAAATACCAAATCATTATGCAGAACCCCAGGCTCTGTGATACTGTTTGAAAACTTCATTGCCCTGTTATACATCCTCAGTCAGTACTTTTAATGAACTGGTTGAAATTGCATTCTGTATCTCTTATGGCTCCTTGGACAATGTCTGACACACAGCAGGTATTAAAAAGTATTTACTCAAACTAAAGAAGGAAAATCCATAGGGGGGAAAGGATTGGCACATATCCATTACTAGTACTACAAAAATTCTCAGAAAGTATCCCTGCTGACAGTATAGCTCAATAGTGTTAGATCTCACTGGTATTATACACTATTATGCTCTAAAACACACAATTTAACAAGTATTTTTTTTTTTTTGACCTGGATTGTGTTAGTGGTTGCAGAATATTAAAAAAAAAAAAACTGTTGAATAAATATTTAATTTCTTCCACGTTGAAGACACTGTTTGAAGGGCTGTGGAGATTACAAAGATGGCAAAAGTACTGTCTCTCCTTTAAAGAACATGTAATATTTGCCAGGCTCAGTGGCTCATGCCAGTAATCCCAGCAGTTTGAGAGGCTGAAGCAGGAGGATCGCTTGAGGCTGGGATTTTGAGAAAAGCCTGGGCAACATAGTGAAACCCCATTTCTACAAAAATAAACATTAATAAAAAGCAAGTCTGGCATGGCGGTGTGTGCCTACAGTCCTACCTACTGAGAAAATTGAGGTGGGAGGATTGTTTGAGCCCAGGAGTTCAAGGCTGCCATGAACTCTGATAGCACCACTGCACTCAAGCCTGGGTGATAGACCAATACCCTGTCACAAAACAAATGAACAAAACTTAATACTCTAAAAGGGGAGAAAGTTTACATAAAATTGCTAGAAAGCAAGCCAATATGCCAGACAATATCAAGAAAATTTCAGTATTTTTTGAGTCAGAGGTAGGGAAATTTTGAAAGATGACCAGTCTAATACATAGCCCCATTAATAGGAGGCCATTACAGAATGCAGAGTGAAATAATAGGTTCTAGTGGAAGGCAAAAACTATGGAAACAAATACTTCACTCACTGCCTTGATCTTGAGAAAACAACCCTCCTCCCATGAAGAAAACATGACATAGAAAGAAGTTAGGAACAAGTTAAATGTGAAGTTTTCACAATTGGTATGTTAGAAATACCAAGAATGGAGAGATCAATGTGAATTGTAGTGAAGGAAACTTTACGAAGTTGGCACTTAAATTGGGGCCCCAAGGATGAGTAGGATTTAGAGCGGTGAGAAAGCATTCCAGTTTAACAGGAACAACATGAACCAAAGCCCAGGGGCCAAGAGAACAGTTTCCATGAGGAAGATAGAAGAAAGCACTCAGACTGGAGCAAAGAATGTTTGCTGGGCGCCAGGTTGGCTGAGTAGAGTGGAGTCAGATTAACAGTGGGTATAAAGGTGGAAACAGCTAAAGACCAAGATGAAGATAAAAGAGAAGCTGCAACCTAGTTATAATGACAGTACAATTCTTTGTTAGAGCAGCGAGGGAACAGGATCTTGCTGTAGCTCAGGCTGAAGTGCAGTGGTACGATCGCAGTTCACTGCAGCCTTGACCTCAAGCGATCCTTCTACTTCAGTCTCCCAAGTAGCTGGGACTACAGGGGTGTGCCACCATACCCAGCTAACTTTTGTACTTTTGGTAGAGATGGGATTTTGCCCTGTTGCTCAGGCTTGTCTTGAATACCTCGACACAAGCAATCCACCCACTTTGGCCTCCCAAAGTTGGTATTACAGGCATGAACAACAGCGCCCAGCAGATAATACAACTCTCACACAAAGAAAACTACCAAAGGTATACAAAGGAGTAAGAATAGAAGAGAACAGGCCAGGCACGATGGCTCTGCCTGTAATCCCAGCACTTTAGGAGACCGAGGCAGGCAGATCACCTGAGATCAGGAGTTCGAGACCAGTCCGGTCAACATGGCAAAACTCTGCCTCTACTAAAAATGCATAAATTAGCCGGGTGTGGTGGCAGACATCTGTAATCCCATCTACTCAGGAGGCTGAGGCAGGGAAAATCAATTGAACTTAGCGGGGAGATTGCAGTGAGCCAAAATAATGCCATTGCACTTCAGCCTGGGTGACAGAGCAAGACTCCATCTCAAAAAAAAAAAGAAAAAAGAGGTTGCAGTGAGCCAAGATTGCACCACTGAATTCTAACCTGGGCAACAACAGATTAACCCCAAAAAAAAAAAAAAAGGAACAGAACAGTAAGAACAAAATGAATGAAATGACCCAGAAGTTGGAGAAATAACCTGTTCACCAGGGCTATTGTTTGGACAGGTACCCAATTTGAAAAGGAGGAAAAGATGAAGTTAAGATGAGAAAGAATAAGATAAACACATATATTTCCAGATAAAAATTACAATAACCAAATTCTCCACTGTTAGATTGGTTATTCTATAAAATTAGTTTAATTCCTAGGATGTTCATGAGGATGCTTTATTACATGGACATACTGGCTTGAGAGCTGCATAAAAAACTTGCATTATCCCTTGGGTTAAAGCCAAATTAATGATCTGCCTGTTGAGAACTTACTGCACTTGAAGTTCAGAAGATCTGTAACATCTTCTTTAAAACACTTAGCTATCTTTGGCCTGATTGTTATAGCATTTTCATATACTGCCTTCTCCACCCCAGCCTAATCAGATTAATTATGCTGACAGAATTATGGATGTGTTGGATCATGGTTGCATTCCAATGATTCAATCTGTAGTCCCTGGTACATAGTTTTCACTTGAACATGTGAAGTAGAAAGTTCAAGGTGACTGGGCAAGTGCAGAGGTATTGCATGACTGAAGGTGAACCTGGATTTCAGTACAGTACTTTTTAAAATTTAAATTGTTTTGAAAATGGCAAATGCCAACTGAGCAAGGTACCTCATGCCTATAATCCCGGCATTTTAAGAAGTTGAGGCAGAAGGCTCACCTGAGGTCAGTAGTTCGAGACCAGCTACAACACACTCTGAACTCATTTCTGTAATGTGGAATAATCAACAATCAGTGGGGTAAAGTCGGAAATAGAATCTTTCAACTGAATTTGGTTTAAATAATCCCACCTTATTTGCATTAATTACTCTTCCAAGTCTGACAGACACTCCTGACTCAAGATCAGACCATACTATTAACATCTCCTCACGATAAGCATGTGATTCTGTGCCAAAGACAAGCTTAAAAACCATGTCAAGACCTGTTCAGTTTATGTCATGCTTCTTCAACATTAATAATTACAAAATATTTTTATCAATCCTACTTCAATAATAGGAGTAATTGATCTTACCGTATCAGCAAGAAGAAGGCTTCCATCTCTGGTAGGAGGGACTGTTTACTTGCCTTTCCTAATTTTTATAAATATTCAATGGCATTTAAGCCCAGGGTCTTCTTGTCTACTACCATCAGGCAATCTGAAACACAGCACATAATCTAATTAATTCTCAGGTAATGGCCCTCTCATCCCAGAATCTACAAAGCATTTTTCTTTGAAGAAACAGACGGTGGCATTTTTCTTTAAAGGTTATACACTATCTTTGTCGCTAAATCTTGGCAATTGATTGGGAGGCAAAATGGAGCAGGGTTAGGAAGCTATGGAACAGCTTTAAGAATGCTGGATTTGGAGTTAACTTTAGGCTTTATAATTTTTTTAGTAAGCTGAGACAATTCACTCCTTTTGTGTCTCATTTTCTAATTCTATAAAATGGAGTACTACCCCTTTCAAGGAGGTTTTGTGACGATTTAATGACTTTCTGTAAAAATACAATTACAGAGTCTTATCTGCATTTAGTATGCACCAAGAGAACCACTTATATGTCTGGGGGCGCATATTTTATGAAAAATTCAGGATTCATACTGTGACAAGAAAGAATATTTGAAACTGGACCCACCAGGTAAAATCCAGACAGTATGGGTCATTTTCTTCCTGCTAGTATTCTATTCTTGCTGAGGCTCACACTCAAACTGAAATAACTTTTGATTCTCCTCTGTGGCGCAGGCTAGAGTGCAGTAGTGCGATCTCGGCTCACTGCAGCCTCCAAGTCCTGTGTTCAAGCGAGTCTCCTGCCTCAGCCTTCCAAGTAGCTGGGATTCAGGCGCCTGCCACCGCGCCTGACTCTTTTTTTTTTTTTTTTTTTCTCCTAGTAGAGACAGGGTTTCAGCATGTTGGCCAGGCTAATCTCGAACTCCTGACCTCAGGTGATCTGCCCGCCTCGGCTTCCAAAGTGCTGGAATTACAGGCGGCGCCGCTGGCTTATTCTTAAATTCACTCCATTAAGTACTTGCAAAATGCTCACATGCTGCTCTCTGGCCCGTTTAGAAACTCAGGCCCGTGAGTAGGACGTCCACTTCATTACTGCTGTTTCACATATTCAGTGTAAAATGCTAGAGACGGTACAAAATCCTCCGGAGGGGGCCTTCCTAACACGTTAGCATAAGGATCCCCTGGGCAGTTCCAGGGAGGAGTCCATCACCTGACAGGAACCGGCCTTTCAGTGGAAGGAAAGTGTATTACTTCCAGCGAAACCTGAATAACCAGCTTTCAGCTTGGGAGGCCGCGAGGTAGAAGTGGGCGGGCCCATCAATACAGCGTCCGGGCTGAGGCCGCGCTTCAGGCCGGTGGTCACGTAGGCAGCGGAAAGCCGGGCTGGACGCCTGCGCGCTGGGATGCGTCGGCTCCGAGGGCATTCCGGAAGCTGGGGCGCGGCGGACTGCGCGGGCGGTGGGACTCCGTTTAGTTTCCGGTGCGGCGAACACCAAAGTCCGGGAACCGAGACATTTTCAGGTTTTAGGATTGTTACGAAGCTGCAGGAGCGAGATGGAGGTGGACGCACCGGCTGGTGATGGTCGAGACGGTCCCCGGGAGCGGCGAGGCCAGAGCGAGGCAGGGAGGCAGAACCTCGATGTGCGGCCTCAGTCGGGGACAAACGGGCTTCCTAAACACTCCTACTGGTTGGACCTTTGGCTCTTCATCCTTTTCGACGCGGTGGTATTTCTCTTCGTGTATTTTTTGCCATGGTGAGTATCTTGAATGCAGAATTGGAGTGATAATTCTTGCTCTATTTTGGGCGGGGAGGAGAATGAATATGTCCAAGATCACACAGCTGGTGAGTGGCGCAGTCGGGTGGTTGGGGGAGGAGGACTAGGAGTGAAATGTCCTTCCTTGGCACGTCCATGGGAGTCTCCAAAGAAGTGTGGAGAAAACTTGGCGTCATATTTTCTCATGATTTGGAATGGAACCAGATAGGCTTGAGTTCCTGCAGCACCATGAAGCAACCGGAGAAGTTATTTCGCTTTTTGGAGCTTTATTTTTTCATCAGTCATTTGGGGCCGGTAGTCACCAGGTCATAGGGGTGTAGTGAAGATTGAGATCGTAGTGATTTGCGTGTTGCCTGGCAGTTGTAACTGCCCAATGAAAGCTATTGTTACTATACAGCTGTTTGACCATGAGCAGACCACGCAGCTGTCTCAAACTTAACATGTCCATAACTGAGCTCTTAACAGCTTCTTACCCGAATTTACTTGCCTTTCAGTGTTCTCATTTCAGTAAAGGTCAACTTTATCCAACGTTACCTCCCAGAAACCCGAGACACTTTTGGCTTTTTATTACACACATCCACGTATCCTAAAACACCAAGTCACAAAATTCTGTAGAGTTCACTTGTAAAACCCATGCTCTCCATTTTCATCGTTACTCATTCTGAAAAGACAATTCTGGCAGAGGGTAAAGGAAGGGAACTTACAGAATAGGGCAGAGGAAGCAGATACCAGGTGGAGATGGTGATAAGGAGAAGCAGTGAGATGAAAGAGGGCGCCTATGGGAGAAAAGCAGTGTAGCCCATCTAGACAGCTCTGTTGGACTTTAGAATTGATTGTTCACTCACTGTAAGTTAACTCATTAGTCACCGTGAGTTACTTCTGAAATTCTCACTTCTTGATAGACAGTCACTTATGCCCAACCCCCATCCCCCATCCCTATATTTTCACAAAGATTTGGGAGTCTTAGGCCTCACTGTATGATTACTTGGTGTAGTAAGAGAAGACAGGGCGAGGCACAGTGGCTCACGCCTGTAGTCCCAGCTACTTGGGAGGCTGAAACAGGATTGCTTCAGTTGGGGAAGTCAAGGCGTCAGTGAGCTGTGAATACACCACTATACTCCAGTCTGGGTGACAAAACAAAACCCTGTCTCAAACAAAGTCGGGGGCAGGGGGCAGGGGAGGCAGAGGGATGAATGGGGAGGATGGCTAAAGGGATAGGGATTTTTATAAAATTCTCTGTCAAACCATTTGTAAAGGGAGTTTCACGCTCCCTCCTTATTTTGGTGGAGACTGATCTCAAATACAGTGGGGTGTGTGTGTGTGTGTGTGTGTTTATGACCTGAGTTTTCAGCTCTGGATAGAAAATGGAGGCCTTACCTGAAATGTTCTAGGCTCTTTTTAAATCAATATATAAATCATTTAGGAATAGACAAGTGATGAAAACAAGATTTTCTGAAGTAGGCATAAGGTGTTAAACTGGGAACATAAAGCAAATATTGCTGACAAATACTTGCCTTTTACAGACTCATTTGGTGATACCATATTAAGAAGTTCGTTCTTGAGTGAATTCTGAAAATGGCTACAAACGTCTTGAATAAAGAAGACAGGACTTTCAACAGAAGAATTTCAAATCTCCAAGGGACCCTTCCTTTCATTTTACACTTTGTTACTAATTTGCAGAGCTCTATTAAATTGGTAGGATTTCACCCATTCCTCACTAAGTTGTTAAAATTAAACCTTTTGGTTCATGTTTAAAAACGTTTCAGACATCCGATGGCTTTACAGGGGCTGAATAGAAAAACATTTGTACTTAAAGGTTTTGTGTATTAATTAAGAAATATAGTAATGTCTTAATGTTTTAAGAGTTGTTCAGGATTTAATATGCAAGGAATATGGCGACTCATAAGCGAAGGTTTATATGAATTCAAAAGTAAATTATTCAAAAGCAGGGAAAGGTTTTGAGAGAAGGAACAAAGTATTCTTAGATTGCATAGAGGCTGTATAAAAATAAGATATATGGAAAATGTAGGCCCCCGGTGTATTTACTGCCTCTAAGTTCCAGTTTAAATTTTTAGGTTTCATTGGACTCTGTTTTGAAAAGATAGGTTGTGGGCAACAGGTTGATACAGTCTTAGAAAAAATAGGTAGTATGAAAGTATTGGAAAGCTAGCATGCATGTCCTCTTACCTGGGTATCTCCCCCTTTTTTCCTTTTAAACTCTTGAGCCTCCTATGTGTTTCAAACCTATTTTTTATTACTGTTAATAAATCATTTTGATTTACTTGCATTAAGTATGCTTGTGGCCAAAACGTTTATTTTTATAATGTCTGTGACTTGCTTAAATACTTCAGCAAAGTCAGTATATTTACTCATTCAACAAATAGTTGAGCCAGGCATTATCTTAGACACAGCAGTGAACAAAACAAAAAGGGATTCTTGACTCCATGGAGCTTACATTATTGTTATTTAAATCTAAATGTTATAAAACAAGAATTTACATTCAAGGGTTGATCAGCTAGTATTTAATCAAAAAGGCCACAATCCCATAGCAGCTACTCTAAGCTGTAGTAACTAATAGAAAATGTTGGCTGGGTACAGTGGCTTACACCTATAATCCCAGCACTTTGGGAGGCCAAGGGCAGTTGGCCACTTGAGGTCAAGAGTTTTGAGACCAGCCTGGCCAACCTGGTGAAACCCTGTCTCTACTAAAAAATACAAAAAAATTAGCTGGGCCTGTTGGCACACACCTATAGTCTCAACTACTTGGGATGGTGAGGCACGAGAATTTCTTGAAGGTGGGAGGTGGAGGTTGCAGTGAGCCTAGATGGGGCGCTGCACTCAAATCTGGGCACCAGAGTGAGACCTTGTCTCAAAAACAAAATTTCTGTTAGCCCTAAAGGCTTTACATGAGGAATGGTAGAAGTGGGCTCTTGTTGAAATTACTTGCATTCAGTATATGCGAACTGTCTTAAATATTTTAGGGATATTTCCCTCCCTTCTAAATAGGGTATAAGATCTGGTAAATTCTCTGTGTATCTTCCTACCTTTCAGAAAAGTCTGGAATTGATTTTGGAGATTTTTAATTGCCTGATGCTGACTATAAAGTTAGCAATTATGCCTTGAGGGTTTTGTTGCATCAACCTAAAGAGAACAATTTATGGAAGATATGGTTGAAACAGCTATAGGCACACAGAACTGGGATTTTTCACTGAGCACCAAATTGATTGTATGAACTGTTTCTGCACTGCTTGCTAATGGTTTTGTCTAATAAATGTTTACTTATATAGCTGGTTTTATTGTAACAAACAACTGGTGGTGAGATTGTGAGGTAATTAACGTGTGTGTGTGTGTGTGTGTGTGTGTGTTTGTTTCTCACATAGTTTACTGTTAGGTCACACACAGACTTCCAATCATAATTCATATTACCTTTTTGAGCCTAAAATCAGCCAACTACCACAACTATCAGATATTCTGAAAATTTCTGGTATAGTGAAGATGGAGAGATCTTGGTGTGAAGGTTTATTTTACATGTCATCTTGATTATCCTAGGAGATGCTCAGATTTCTGGGTTTGTCCATGAAGGTGTTTCTAGAAGAGATTAGCATTTGAATCAGTAGACTGAATAAAAAAGAGCCACTCACTCCACTGTAGGTGGGTGTCATCCAATCCCTTCAGGTCCTGGCTGGAATAAAAAGGCAGAGGAAGGGCAATTCTCTGTTCTCTCTGCTTGAACTGGGACATCCATGTTCTATCCTTGGACATTGGTTCTCCTGATTCTCTGGCTCTCATACACAGACCAGGGCCCCTGGTTCTCAGATCTTTGGGTTTGGGCTAGAACTACACTATTAGCTTTCCTGGGCCTACTGTTTGCAGATAGCAGACTGTGGGACTTCTCAGCCTCTATAATCACGAGCCAATCCTTCAAAATAAATTTCTTTCTATATATCTATATATATTCTGTTGATTCTCTTTCTATAGAGAACCCTGACTTAGTAATATGACATGACTGTAAATAGTATTTTTTAAAATGATGGCAGTATGAAGGTTGAATCTTTCCTACAGATGGTAAGAAATTGTACCTACCATTAAACTGTGCCATTTCAAGTAGTGACTGCTTACATTGCCCACACTTTGAAGGCTTATAAGAAGTGGATAAATGGAACACCAAGAAAAGTTGCAAACTTGCTAAGATAACAGGACAAAAAAAAAAAAAGATATCAAAAGAAAATCAATGTGGCTACTCTGATAAATTCTTCTGTAAATTTCACACAATTTTATATAAAATGAAATGATTATTTTAGTAGTTTCTTTTGAAATGAATTGGCTTATTAGCAGTTGCAAGGGATAGTTTTTAGGGGGCTTATCTTGAATGTTTTAGGATGTAAAGAGCTGCAAATACTCAGTCCATAAGTGGCAATGGGAGTACATTTGGAGACTTCAGCCTGTGAGCTAAGAATAATTTTTACATTTTAAATTGAGGGAAAAAAAGACTTTCAGGACGTGAAAGATACATGCAATCTGGATTTCAGTGTTGACAAAGTTTTACTGGAAAACATCCATGCCCATTCATTTACATATTGTTTATGGCTGCTTTCACACTACAGAGTTGAGTAGTTGTTAACAGAAATATTATGGTCCACAAGGCCTATATTATCTTCTATCTTTATAGAAAATTTGCCAACTCCTTTTCTAAGGGGCTATGCTTTAGACCTTGCTGGAGTTTAACTCTTAGGCCCTCCTGTGATAGATACGTTTTATGATCAGAGAAATTCCAAGTACCCTTGACTTAACAAGTCCCATAATAATCCACATTAGGGGAGGGTGACACACAGTTCATGAATGCAAAGAGAAGCCGAATCATATAAACTTAAAAATCAGTTTATCTTAAATTTTTTTTGAACTAGAAGAAATTGATTTTACATGAAAATATAACATTCTGAAGGTAAGTATTTTAAACATTACAATTGTTGGCTGAATTATTTACAAAGTTATAATAAGCTTATAACCAGATGAAAACATCTGTAAAAATAAATAGGCACCCTAGATGTAAAAATTTTACATGTAATAAAATGATTAGTATATATATATTTTTGTATTTGGAGTGTTGACTCAACATAAAACTAAATGGTCAGTTTATAGTTTGTGTAGCAGTACATTACATGATTCAGGAGGTTTCAACTGGACAGTACTTAAAAGAGGCAAAACATTTCTATTTGATGTCTACAACTCAACTGAGTTGAAAAGACAAATCTCTGAAACTGCTGTTAAATACAAAAATTAGTTTAAATGTTTCCAATAATACATTTCCAACTCACATCTTAACCAAATAGAAAAAAAAAATGCACAAAACTTTCCGAAAGCTATTAAAAAACTTGAAGCCCATGTTTCTAGTATTTTACAATGTTATAAAAGCAGTAATTAAAAACATTGGTATATTAAATACAAGTTTACAAACTTTACATTATTTACAAACTCTCCATACTAAAAAATGATGTTAAACTTTCTTAAAAGATAAAATTTGGCATTCAAGTATTTCTAACGACACTATAAAGTAATTATCACTCACTATTATGGTTAGAAAAGGCTAGTAAAAACTATAGGTCGAAGATAAAATTTGCCCAAGACTTGGTAACTGGGTGAAGTTAGACTTTTATAAGCAATTATTTTCTGTTTAACAGTATTCACATTAAATTATTTACAGAATTTTAGAATGTTTTAACAAGATTTATGGAATCAGTTAAGTTGCTAAATTTACTAGTTTATTGAATTATGAGGTTTATCCATTTAGGAATGTACAGAAAACTAGTTCTGCTTCTCAGTTATTTGGAGTGAACATAAAACTATTCTAAACCACAATCAGTTTACCAGCATAGTACAAAATAAAATAACTAATGAAATAAGGCAAAGTAACTTATTTTTACTCATAAGTTACCATTATAATAAAAATTCCTTTAATTTTCAAAGCTCTCTTCATGAAAAGTACTTGGAGTAAAATTACTATTTGTTCAGAGTAGAACAAAAGAGAGGGCTACTCTAATTAAACATTCATTAAAATTAAACTCTATATGTGAAAGGCAGAAATTTAATCTGGAAACCTAGATAGATTTTCAAATTCAAATAAAATGGATTGACAACCTATAAGCAAGTAATATAGCAAAGAAAATGTAGGCAGTTGCTATGACATTCCCAATAAGAGGGGGCTCTACATTAATTCCTAACACTGGTGGATAGCAGCCCAAAGTAAACCAAAATAAAGACTTTTCACATTTCATATAAAATTAGAAAAAAAGTAATGGGATAAATAAATATACTAAAGTTTAAGTATTTTAACTTAAATGGCTAAAGTAATATTTATGAATACCTGTAATAGTCAAAGGCCTAATTTATCTTAACTAGATACTCTGAAGACAAAAGTTCTAGGAGCAAAATTCCATCTGATCCTGAAGATTTACAAATTGTTAAGATCATTAAGGCATTTTTTTCCAAATGCTATCAAATTCATAAGTCATTTTTTTAAAGACACTTAAAGGGATCATATGCAGTAGACTATCATAGAAGTCGAAAGCAAATGGGTGAAGCCCTTTTCTGGTTACCCATTAGAAAGTGCTTCTTCAAAAAGCAAATAATTCTTTGACAAAAAAGTACCAAGCTATGTATCACCTGGTACTTCTCAATTAGCATAGTTTATAATAATCTCCACACATGAATACTGGTTAGTTTAATACTTGCAGGTCTACTGGTCACAAAATAAGAGGGACAAATTTAATTTTTATTCAAATACGGCAAATGAATTATTACATCTCCCTAATTTTCCGTTTTTCACGGCATGCCAAGACTATTCAAAGGCAATTTCTAAAATATCTAATAAATTGATCATAAAATTATATTTGTGTATACACATATACAAACACACACACACGTACATGTATAGTGATTAACAACTTTAAAAATACTATGGGCTTTAATTTTATGTGTCACCTAGGTTTGGTCAGTAGGTTCCTATTATATTTAAATGGCCTCTAAGAAGTAAAAGTTAGTGTCAATTTTACCAATTACCTATTAGAATGTATGCTAGTTTTGTATCTTTGTTCAGAAGGGCAGCTTGAACCAAGACTATTATGTAACACAGGTCCTAGCCCTTTTACACTCTAAGATAGTGAATTATTACAAAAGCCACTGCTTTCTGGAAAAGAGAGCTTGGGCCTCTGATGGTATTTCAATCTATATGTATCTGTCATGCAGCTATCAACTGAAAAATAGGTAGTTAATGAAACTGTCTCATTTGGACAGGTAGAAATAGAGTCTAGTTCTGGTTGACAAAAGACATCAACAGCACCTGAGTTTGCCTGAAAATCACTAGTTGAGGAGTTGGATGGGCAGTTTGGTGTGTTGCCAACGCATTCTCTCACTTGAAATTTTTCTTTATGTCTTTCATCATTCATATGTTTACTCACTTCTAAACTTGGTTCTGAAGCTGTACTTAAACTGTGCCTCGGAAGATGAGAAGTAGCTTTAAACACCTCTGTAAGTTTGACATCAGGTGTAGATTCACTTTTCTCTGACTGTGGCACGCTGGTTACAGCATGTTTCTTTGGTGGCAAAGGGGGTGGTGGATTCTGGCAAAAAAGTTTTGGCATCTGACACCCATCAGATCTGCTGGCTGACTGACTTATACATTCTGTGGATAGAGAGTCCTCAGAGTAACATTGATCCATATTTTGCTGCTGGATGAAAGGAGCAGTGTCTGGCTTTAACCCAACAGTTCCTAGGTGTGAAGACCATAATAAAGATGGTTCATTTCTGTTCAGTCTCTTCCTAGAAGCAGAGTTATCAGCACAAAAAGGCAAACCTGTTCTCTCAGAATTTTCAATATTAAGCCACTCAGAAAATTTGCATTCATTTGGTTTTTCAAGTTTCTGTTCTTCTGACTGGTGGATATGTTCTCTGGTATTATGGTCCTTGGGTATTTGTAGACTGGATGAAGGAAATAACTTTCCATTGGCTTCATGTATATGTGATCTGGAATATGAAAATAAAAACAAAGCTGGAACACCCTATGCAAATATGTGAAACTAGGAGAAAATAAACATGTGTTTTGTAGTTTGATTTTCCCCAAATACAGTTTATATTATTTTTATAACAAAACCACAAAAATGGAAAGATATTTGTAACCATTAACATTTTCAACTCTCTCCAAATCCAAAATCTTTATGTCAGAATATGAGTGTTTACCAGAAACACCCATCATTACCAGAATCCCATTTCTAATAATTAGAAATGTAATTT